TATATATTTACTTCTATACACGCACGTGTGAGAGAAGGTATAAATAAGGGAGAAAATTTCTCGAAGATAAGACACAACAGTTAAATCAATTGCCCTTCGTATGTATAGCAATGCAAGTATGGTGAAGACTACGTACGAATACAATTATATAAAGGAGAAGAGAGAAAGACGAATTCGAGCGCCGAGCAAGTTGGTGCCGAGAGGCGCGCATCACACGCAGACAATAATAATTGGCGAAATTGAGTTGTCATGCTGCGCTCGGAGAAAAGAAACCGTAAGCTGAGACCTTTTAAGTAAGTATACGCTCGCACCGATTCTTTTTTTTTCCTTCCTCTTGTTTTATTTTTAAGGCGGTGTCCCGTTATGAAAAACTTTTCGTCGTTATCTAACGCCCGAAACTTTGTATGCAGAGTACCGTTAATTCAAATGTCGTGAATATTCTCATTCAATTTTAATGCATGTGTACAATAATGTAATGAAAGCCGAATAAAAACAAAAGATAACGTGGTACGTGATGTTATATTATTGCAAAAAAAAAGAGCTGACTCTTTCCCACCACCTGATGATCGTTATCGTGCACTACTTACGATGTCGTTTTTGTTTGCGCATACATAGGTATTGCGCGTTCGATCGCTTAAACTCACAGTTCGCGAATAGCGGGTGCTTAGAGCGTGCAATAAGGCACGTGAAATTTTATGTCGTAAGTAGATGATTATCAACGCATAGTAAGGCTGATACTGAGTCAACTTCGCAAGTATACCTACTTTTAAGTAAAAAAAAACGAGAAGAGCGTTACAAAAAAAGAGCTATCGTTCCACGTCGAACCACTTATGAACGTAGCAAAACAAAAAATGAGATAAAAAAATTTTACCTTGATACTTCGTATACCAGCAACAGCTTGGATATATTTAATTATGAAGATATTTAAAAATCATATATAAAACAAGTGGCTAAATTCGAGGCTAAATTCATGCAAAACACTTCGTCTTGCATGTGAGGCACGACCAAACTACGAGGTGCCACAGCAAAAAGTGTTATTTAAATAATATTAAATTTTAATTTTGATATTCTTCCGTTATCA